TCTTCTTCTTCTTCTTCTTCTTCTTCTTCTTCTATGTGCTGTGTTCCTTCAAGACATAGGTGATCATGGCTCTTCACGATTTATATTTCGTATGACTCCTAGCAGTTTTTTCTTCCTTGTCTAAAGCCGTCGGGTCCCCTTTCTGCTATCCCTTCACACAAACTCGCCAGTGGCTTGCTACCTTTCTCTATCTCTCGTGCTCTTAATATGCCTCTTGAGGGTAAAGTTTTCCAAGCCCTCTTTCCTCATTATGTATACAGAGAACTTCAGCTGTCTTTTTCTTATTTAGAATATAAGTGTTTTCGTTCTGTTGCCACTTTCTTTAAGACGTCCTTGTTACTAGCTCGCTCCGTCAATGAAATTTTCATATCCTTTGTAGAACCACATTTCTGCAGCTAGTTTTTTCCTCATCCTTGGATAAATTGTCGAACATTCTCTGCCATATAAGAGGATGGCGACCATCTAGCTATCCAGTACTCTTTTCATTGTTTTTAAATATTTTTTCTGTTTCTCAGCTCCTTGATTAGCATTTGGAATGCTTATATCGCCAGTTCAATGCGCGTTCGGTCGTGATGTCGCATTTTCCATCTTCTGTAAAAACGCTTCCCAGATATTTGAACTTCAGCACCTGCTAGATATTTATTAAATAAAATGTATCTATAAAAAAATAAAGTATAAACAGAAAATATATTAAGTAATTGTCGGACTTAATCCATTTCATAATATGTTGCCATTGTTTACGTAAAGATACATTTCATGAGCAGATATGATCGATTGAGAAAAATCGTCGAAGATTGTGAGTTTATAAAACGCTTAAATGGTATAATAAATCAGATCAAATGCTGGTTTACGTATAGGAATACAGGTTCGATTCCTGTCGGAGAACGCATATTTTCTACGAAATTTCTCGAATATTCGAGCTGGTAAATGTAATTAATATTGTATAATTAAAAACAGAGCATTTACTTAAATAAATTGTATCTATAAAAATAATGTATTAACACATAATATATATATATATATCCAATTCGTAACTCGCATTTCGGGCTTTTTTTTTTTCTCTTGCTGATCACCAGACTTTCTGTCTTTTTTTGCAGTTGATGGTTACTCGTGTTTTTCTCGCCTTCCTCTACTACAACTTAACGGTTAGGTAAATTCTTGAACTTACCTTACTACACAACATCAACAGCTACTATTGGAGGATGAGATGAAAAACATGCTTATTTTAAACACAGTCCCGCGTCACTTAACTTGATAAGTAGCGTAATCATTCAAAGAAAAGAATTACAACAATGCTACGCATCGCTTAAAAGTAACAAAATAAAAACTATATATGTACTTTCCTAAGAGTCCGTATCATAAATCGTATCATAAAACGTTATGATGTTGCATTATATGTTTACAGAATGCCTCTTGTTGCTTTAATATTGAGAATATATTTTGAAATTATCATCATCATTATTATTATTATTATTATTATTATTATTATTAATAATAATAATAATAATATTTCCTTTGATTTCTGGTGTGGACACATTTCTTTCCGGGTCCTGCCCAGACCCCTAAAGTTAGAAATGGCATCATGACATTTTCCACTGACCAATTAAACACACACACACACACACACACACACATATTTTATATAGATAAAGCCCTTCGTAAGGTGTCGGCTCTACTCGTGAGAACAGCATTTTGTGTTTCTTTAAGGCATATGGGCTTCCAGGAATCCCTTCAAAGAGTCTACTGGAATCTTTTCCAACCAATTCGGTGGCCTCCAACTACAACAGAGATTCAAGAAAAATCAAGTGACAAAGACATCTACACCAATTTTTTGGGAAAACTAAGCAAATATAAAGAACTGAAGATTGAAATAGAAAAAGATGTGGTACTTAAAAACTAAAACTGTTCCCGTTGTGGTTGGAGCTTTGGGTCTGAGAAGGAAAGAAATTCAAGAGCAAATCAACAATTACTATTATTATTTTTATTTCCTTTGATTTCTGGCGTGTATACATTTCTTTCCGGGTCCCACCCAGGAACCTAAGGTTAGAAATGGCATCATGACACTTTCCACTGAAAAAAAAAAAATTATATAGATAAAGCCCTTCGTAAAGAGTGGGCTGTACTTGTGGGAACAATTTTTTGTATTTCTTTGAGGCATGGACTTCCAGGAATCCCTTCAATTAGTCTATTGGAATCTTTTCCAACCAATACTAGGGCTCCAACTACAACAGGGATTGTTGAGGTTCCCATGTGCCACATTTTTGAGATTTCGTTATTATTATTATTATTTCAAGTAGGACCCAAGTAATCTTTGTTGAAATTTATCTATTTAGATAAACAATACTGCATACATGTATTCTTTTCATATTGTCTTCGGCAACTCGATATCATTATAATTTAGAAATGAAATTTTGATGTCTTTTAGCCAGAATATTTTACGAATGCTTGATTGGGAAAAGAAGAAGGAAAAAACAAAAAAAAAACCCCCAAAAAACAAACTACGCCACACTTTAGATAAGTTAAATCTTAAACGACCTATAACGGCACCATCATTTATGAAGAATAACTATTGTGGAATGATAAAATGATAAATCATCATCATCATCATCATCATCATCATCATCATCATCATCAGTCTTGTGACCGAGTGTGGCGGTAGGGTCGCAGGGTCGCTGCGTAGCTGAGAACCTGACCGGTTCCCTTCAGATATTTGTGTTGGAAGCCAGTGAGGGATTCATTTATGCGTAGCATATCTTGGCCAAGTAGACCTGGTGGAGCTTGACCATTTCTCTGTCAGATCCCAGACGATGTCCTGCAACTTGAAGGCCATACATCGAGAGACCTAAGCTCATAAATAGTTTCATGATATTTTCCCTTGCACATCTGTGTTAAAAAAAAAAAAAAAAAAAGATGGAAAAATTATTATTAATGGGCAAAAACTCTTCGTAAAATATGTATTTTCTTTTTTGAATTATTTTATGGATTTCCTGGAGATATCGTGCTTCAGGGATTTTACTGATTTGGTCTTGAATTTCTTTCATTCTTAGGCCCAAAGCTCCAACCACATCAGGAACAGTTTTAGCTTTTAAGTACCACATTTTCTTTTTCCGTTTCAATCTCCAGCTCTTTGTATTTGCTTGGTTTTCCAAAGACTTTTGTATAGATGTTTTTGTCACTTGATTCTTATTTGTCTTTTTACTCCGCTTATTCGATATTTTTACCTGGTTTTGAATTAATATTAACATCAAGCTACACCCCACAACTTTGTATATCTGACGTTGTTGTTACGATTATTATTATCATCTGTGTATGTTAAGTTTCCTACTATGTATCCTGTAGAGTCGGGTTCAAACTATGGTCCTTAGCCCCTATAGGAAAATTGTCATTTAATTGATAGCACTTTTCTTAGTATATGGGATGTTCCATTAGAGCGATCTTCTGGGCAACTTGTATGTTGATGTTACCTGGGACACTGTTAGTAAAATTGTCCATTCCTTTTCTCACAAGGCCCAGAGCTTCGATTACTATTGGTACAGTTTTAGTCTTCATTCCCCACATCCTGTTAATCTCTATCTCCAGGTTCATCAATTTGGACAATTTCTCGATAATTTTCATGGAGATGTTTCTCTTGGAATGTACTACTATGTCAATAAGCATACACTTCCTGAATTTCTTGTCTTTTATGATAATATTAGGTCTGTTAGGCTTTATTTCCCTGTCAGTTTGAACTGGCATGTCCCAGAGGATAGTTACATCGTTATTTTGGGTAACTTTGTCTGGTTGGTGCTCATAACATCTCTCAGTAGTTTCGTTTTTGTGCTTCTTGCATATCTTCCAGTGCACATATGGCGCTACCTTGCTATGTCTGTGGGTATATTCATTTTTGGGTAGTTCCAGACATCCTGAGATAATATGCTCGACAGTTTCAACATATTTTCCGCAGATCCCGCATTTCGGGTTAGTTCCATCCTTGATTATGTGACAGTGATAGGATTATTATTATTATTATTTTCTTTGATTTCTGGCGTTTACACATTTCTTTCCGGGACCCGCCCAGGGACCTAAGGTTAGAAATGGCGTCATGACACTTTCCACTAAAAAAAAAAAAAAAAAAAAAAAAAAAAATTAAATTACATAGATAAAGCCCTTCGTAAGGTGTGGGCTGTACTTGTCAGAACAATTTTTTATATCTCCTTGAGGCATGGACTTCCAGGAGTCCCTTCAATTAGTCTATTGCAATCTTTTCCAAACAGACCTAGGGCTCCAACTACAACAGGGATTGTTGATGTTCCCATATGCCACATTTTCGAGATTTCTATTTCAAGGTCCTTGTATTTTGACAACTTTTTGAATATCTTCAAAGATACATTGCAGTCAGCAGGGACTGTCATGTCAATAAGGAGGCACTTTTTTTGTTTGTGGTCTTTAATAACAATATCTGGCCGGTTGGCCTTGATTGTTCTGTCAGTGTGTATTAGAATTGTAACAGGTCCTATCTCCGTAGCCGCGTCTGGGTGGTGTTCATACCAGTTTCTTTCAGTTTCCTTTCCGTAGAAGTTGCAGATTTTCCAGTGCAGATATTGGCCCACTCTGTCATGTCGGATTTTATATTCAGTGGGTGCCAACACCGTGCAACCTGATACAAGATGATCAATCGTTTCTGGATATTTATCACAGAATCTGCATTTTGGGCTGACACAATATTTTAGTATATGTGCTTGATAATTCCTAGTTAGCAAGCATTGGTCCTGTGCAGCAAAGATAAAACCCTCAGTTTCCGCTTTCAACCCTGCACTACGTCGCCACTGATGAGTACGGGTTTATTATTATTATTATTATTATTATTATTATTATTATTATTATTATTATTAACAATGTATGTACATATTCGCCACTTACGGTCATATCACCTTGAATCACCGGTTCCCGTACGATCACCGAAGTTAAGCAACGTCAAGCCTAGTTAGTAACGAGATGGGTGGCTTGAGAATACCAGATACCGAGAGCTTGGATGTGAGCGTTGTGTAATGGATAATGAGCCGGAACTGTTACTCGAAGAGCCGAATTCCAATTGCAGTTGTGTTCGTGATATTCACTTAGGTGCAAATATCATTAGGGGAAAATGTATGAATCCACCTCTTCTCCCCATCTATGGGTTAATTAGTAAAACTTGTATCACTAAATCATTATTATTTCTAAAAGAAAATTCTTACAATCTAAATTTTTTCTGGTTTTAAATAACCTTCAACGGGTTAATAAGCTGTAGAAAACAAATCCATCAATCCTATTCACATCAGTTGTTTGCTGTTTATCGCTGGAGGATAAGTGATAGCAGGACCTCACCAAGGAGGAACCTAGGGGGTCTGACCAAGAAAATCATTTGCTCCTACTATGAAAATACGAACTATTTTTAGCGTCCCAATTCTTATAACATAAACCTTTCATGGAAGATATTTTCAGTGCTTGATGCTATTTCATTTTCCATCGTACATATTAATCAAAGAAAAAAGGTAAATCATACCCCCTCAAAAAAAAACAAAACAAAAAAAAACCACAATAAATTTTTCCTTTTTTATTTACGACTTTGTCCAATCTGGGTAGCGGTCACTGTAAAAAAAAAGCCGTCACCAGTGCCGGGTGGGTGTGCTGTAAATCGGGAGGCTAGAGTAAAAAAATTGCACACGAAAATTAGTTCGCATCATTTTCACAGCGAGGAGCAGATAATTTTCTAGGGGTCGGATAGGCCCCACTTGACGACTGACCTTCTCTAATCTGAGTGTTAGAATTCGTATTAATGCATTAGCATAAAACGCTTTTACTTGCAGTCACCCTAACATAAAGGCCACTCCAATCAAACACTCTGTCGATGGGTGTACGTGACATCGAGTCTCTTTTATACACCAGCACCCTCCTGGGTATTCTGATTTCAATGGGAACAGAAAGAACACACATACTCAGAATAAGAAAAAGACATCTGCAATTCCTTGGACACATAATGAGGAAGAAAGTCTCGGAAAACTTAACCTTCACGAGGCCTATTGAGAGCAAGAAAGGTAGGGGAAGACCGCGAACCACTGACGGGCTTGTGTGAATGGATGATGGAAGTGTACGGTTAGGGTTAGAAAAAGGGAGAAAACTTCTAAGCTACAAAATATAAGTTGTTGAGAACTATGATCACCTATATCCTGAAGGGAAGCGGTACATATAGGGGTGACCAAACCACGGCTCACGAGCCATATGTGGCTATTTGATCTTTAACATGTGGCTTGTGGAATTATGTTGTCTGAGCTTCTTTTTTCATCAAAGTTAAAAATTTCAAGTTTTATAATAATTTATTGGATATGAATTGAGACCCCATTGCGTTAAAACGTGTGTATGTAATAAAAACGTATGTGTAAATTTTGCTAATGTCTTGAGGCTCTCAAATATCTGAATTTTATCGTGTGTGGCTCTTACATTATGCAAGTTTGGCCACCCTATGTTATAGAAGTCTTTTGGATGGTTTTGATTCCTTCTCTGATTTCACTTCTTTTAAGTTTAGATTAATTGCGAAACAGTAAGAAATGAAAGACTGTGTTGCGACTATCTTCTTCTCAAACGGTTCTCGCCTTGCAAATCAGCTTCTGAAATTTGGATTCCTTTGCTTGAGATCGAACAGCGTTCGAAACTAGGCAACTATTTAAGTCCCTGTCTGTATTTCTGAGATGAGGTATTATGTACATTATTTATATTATTCGGACTATTACAACGTTTCAGCCGTTGTACGCTCCGACCTTCTTCAGGTGGTTGGACTGTCGAACTGAACCCTTTATTTCACTCACTGGGATAGACTCTTCTAGTTCCACGTGCCATGTTTAATGGATGTCAGTTATTAGTTATCTCTTGTTAATTTCCCACTGAAAGTTCTCCACTGCCATAACCGGGTATTGAACTCACACTCTTTGGGTCACTGGATTTAACCAACGCCTTTATCCACTGTGCTAAGTATTTAAGTCTCGTAGTAGAGTGCTGTCATTTCCTAACCATACCATAGTTTGGATTCTCAGTAGAAATAGTCAATCAGGTTGTCTCGCTAAAAATAACCTCGCACCAAGGCTCCATACATAGAATGCTGTGATTTACTAAGTTTAGCTTAGTTTTGACTAAAAAGTGCCAAGTACAGGGAAGTTATTGAATAGTGATTTTCCAAGCGTAGCTTAAATGTGGCACAAGGCCTAAAGTAGGGGGCACCCAGTGAGGATCTAACTCACTACTCAGTCATAATTGTTCTAGCGAGACAAGCTTGCTAACAATTACACCGCCACGAGGTGCCCAGTGCAGTTATTGAATATCGAACACACGAGTCAGTCGTAATGGCTCACCAAACCAACCTCATTGAATATTAGTCCACACAGCCGGTTGCTGTTGATAACATGAAAATAATGCATACGTTTTGATACTATTACTGATAGTCTTCTTCTACGCCATGTGTCAATTCAGAACGTGGATGATCATGGCCCTCCACAACTTCTTATCCCTTGTAGCTTTTAGCTACGTTTATCTGTTTTTCCATCCCTTCCACTCCACGTTCCACCACCCAGTCACACAAGCTCGTCGGGTGTCTTCTGTTCTTTTTGCCTTTGACATATACTCTCAGTGTCAAATTCCCCAAGCCCTACTGTCTCACTTGTGTGGTCAAGAAATCTCAGCTGTCTCTTTTTGATTCTGATTATAAGTGGTTTTTCTTTGTTACCATTTATCGTGTGACTTCTTCGTTGCTTACGCACTTCGTCCATAGTGTTTTACTAATTTCATGATCTATCTATCTATTTATCTATCTGAAAGATGGTTAGCACCACCCCCTGGCAAAGACTGAATAAAATCATTTGATCTTCCTTACACTATCTATCTATCTATCTATCTATCTATCTATCTATCTATCTATCTATCTATCTATCTATCATTTTCAGAGAGAGTACACCTGTAAAAGGACAATAGGAATAAAGACAAAAGGAAAACTTATCTTAGTCGACGCATTTTGTACTATTAAGGGACTTATAAAATTCTTACATTTGCTTTGATAAAGTCCCTCAGAGGACGAAACGTGTTCGCTAAGAGAAGTTTTCGGTTTGCCTTTAATCTATCTATCTATCTATCTATCTATCTATCTATCTATCTATCTATCTATCTATCTATATCTATATATATATATATATCTTTTTAAAATGATTTGTTAAATAAAAACGACAAGTTCTGTCTATCCAGTTTTTTTTAACTTTAAAAAAGAATAAATTCAGAAATTTGAAAAAGTTAGTAAAAACTAGATTGACAGAGCTTATCGATATTATTTGCTGCTTTAATACACTTATATACACACACACACACACACACACACACACACACACATATATATATATATATATATATATATATATATATATATATATATATATATATATATAATCGATCGAAAAGATCGTCGGTGTGTGTATTTATAAACAGTAATTCGGATTTTGCTGACCAGAGGCTTCTCTGTGGGAGAATAGTTCGATTCTTGCCAGAGAGCTCATATTTTCTACGAAATTTCTCCAATCATTCAGGTCGGTAAATGCTAGTTAATACTGTTTGAATAATAAAAAAGAGCATTTACTTAAATAAATTACAATCTATAAAAATAACAGAAAACATAAGAAATAATTGTTTCATAACCTTTAAAGTGTTACAAATATATACATAGCGTTTAAAGTGATATATATACACATATGCACTCACACAAATACACACACATACATATATATATATGGCCATCCGCAGACACACTGTTTCGCTCTATCACAGCTCCTCAGAGTGGCTAGAAGGCCGATTGTTTCATGCCGAGATCGAAACTCAACTGATTTGACGTCAGACAGACATCTTACTGCTAGGCCATTGTCGCACTGCAGAATTGATGGGAATTTTAACATTTTTCTCTATACGAAATACGCCAGCGTCTCGGAGAACTCAATTCAATTTAGTTGAAGAGTAATATATATATATATATATATATATATATATATATATAACGTTTATATTGATACAAAAAAGAGAGAAAGATAAATAGCAGGTGATAGATCATTTTATTAATAAGTGATTATTACTAGTACAATAGAAAACTGTAATTATTTCTACCGCTATCTGTTACAAAATCGGACACTACAAAGACTCATAAAAGTCCAGGTTTAATAATCCGTATAGTTCCACGCATGCGCTCACAAACAGGTTTTTCTGGCATATTCATTCTAATATTACTAAAAATAAGTATTATAACGATTAAAATTCGTGCATAAATAGATTTTACATGCAAAAATAGAAGACTTTTTGCTGTTGATAATTTACATCATGTAGAGTACTACTACACTACTTAATAATAATAATAATGATAATAATAATAATAATAATAACCTGAACCTCATCAAGAAATGGACAAACTGTGTAACGTGAGGTTTAGAGTCGTTTCCATCATGAGGTAAGCACTTGGAATAGCTAGAAAAACAGTACAGGCAAGATCGTGGAAATTGAAGATAAACAGGACTGAAAATGTCTACATTACTGCGGTGTTGAGGAAGGTGCTGGAAGTCTGAGAAGACTGTCTGTCATTCGAACCCCATAGGCATCCCCTGTTGTAAACATGAAGATATTATTACTTCTGCTGATTTTTGTTGTATACACATTTACTTCCGGATCCCAACCAGAGACCTCAGGTCAGAAATGGCTTCATGATATTTTCCATTAATTTTTGTAGAAAAATAAAAAAGCTAAAATCACACACATTTTACATAGATAAAGCTTTTTGTAATGTGTCAGCTGTACTTGTGAGTACAATTTTTTTTGTATTTCTTTAAGGCATGGTTTACCGTGAATCCCTTCAACGAGTCTACTGGAATCTTTTCCAATCAATCCGAGAGCTCCAGCTACAACTGGAATTACTGATGTCCTTATGTGCTATATTTTCGAGATTTCCATTTCAAAATCCTTATATTTT